AATCGATTTACCCTCTTGGTTGTAGTGTGTGCGCATGTGAAATCAGGGCCGAAAGTCGTTCAAGTGAGCCCAACGGGTTCTAGCATGACATAACCCTCTGGGAAAGTCACCCAAGAAAAAGGTTACAAACCCGCGTGCGGGTTGAAAAGTACCCGCATGTGTTTTGTGAAACAGTGAACCATGCGAGTCACGGAGCGACTTTACTAGCGTAGGAAGTCGCCATTTAGAAATTCTTAAAATCTAATAGAGACTCTCGTGGGTTTCAAAACGACCAAAGACGAAGGGAAACTCTCAAACGTCTTTTTCTATAAACACAAACAATGGGTCTCGAGTTTTTCTAGTTAGTTACCCAACTTGAAAACTCACAAGTGTTCCATACTTTAATACGTTCTAGTGACTCCTACGGGTTCACAAGCGACTTAAATCGCCTGGAATCTCACACTCACGCAGTATGAATTCTTCTAGCAAACAGTAGCTCTGTCAAGTTCCAAAGTGACCAAAGTCGTCAGGGAACTCCCCCTCAATATTGTAACTCATAATTGAATTATTGTAGAATTGTGTTGTCTATTCAAACCGATCACTCAACAAAATCTTAAAAGCTACTGAAAATAAAAAAATGTACACTTAAAGCAATGTTCTTGACAAAAAAAAATTACGCACATGTGTAAGGTTTCTGTGTAAGGACACATGCCAGAATTCCTGACAAACAAAAACAAAAACACCTTACTTATATATGTAAGGTTTCTACGTAAGGACACGTGGCCTACACAAGCCAGCATATCTTACGCTAGAATGTAGGCATGTCTGAGAACATGTACTGTCCACATGGAAGCCTTACGTAGAAACCTTACATATATGAGTAAGCCTTATGCGTAAGGATTGACTATAAAGTGAATTCAAGTTTGGAAATGGCTATAAGGTGAAATGACCTCGGGAGATTGGCTATTTTGTAAATTTCCCTTTTTTACACTTTTGGTCCCCATGTATCAGAAATTTATATTTTATATTTTTTTTAAAAGAAAATGAGCAAAAAGTTATAAAAAGACAAAAATGTCTACGAGTTTACAATTAAAATTTACAAAGTTATAAACCATAATAATAATAATAATAAAAAAACCACAATTTTGAAACACCAAGGGCAAATAACACAATTTTTCCACAAACAACGGGATTGGAAGAATGTAGTTTACTCTAAATAATAAGTTGATGGTTTAATTCAACATTATATATACATATATATATATATATATATATATAGACTCGGGATCAAGTAGAAACTTTTCTTCTCGTAAGAATCGTAGGACCCCCTTGATCGCCCTTGGATGAGATCGTGCGCTAGATTCGATGGTTTGAATGGGCACAATGGCATTTTCATAATTAAGCTTAATTAACTCTGATGGCAATATTCTGGGTAGATGCGGAGCTTAACATATGTTTACACCCACGAAAATATACATTAGCATGCATTAACAACCTTGAACATTCATAATATATGTTAGCATACCCCATAATTTTAACATATATTAAAATGAAAACATTAACACATCTTAACGCACCTTAACTCATGTTATAACACATTAACCATGAAAATCTTGACATACTATACCTTAACACAGTGTCACACCTTAACACGCAGAAGGAGAGAGAATATGGTGGTGGTCATAGTGAGGAGGCGGGAAAGAAGGGGAGTTGCAGGTGTAGTCATGGTGAGAAGGAGAGAGAAGGTGGTGGTGGTCATAGTGAGGAGGCGGGAAAGAAGGGGAGTTGCAGGTGTAGTCATGGTGAGAAGGAGAGAGAAGGTGGTGGTGGTCATAGTGAGGAGGCGGGAAAGAAGGGGAGTTGCAGGTGTGGTCACGGTGAGAAGGAGTGGGTCTCATGTAAAATGGTCGATAATTGAAGGGACGATGCCAAGGATGGAAGAGGCGCCAAAGATGGAGTGCATCTCACCATTGTTTTTTAACGTTCAATAGAAAAATGAAATAAAATTGTAAAATAGCCAAAAATGCCCCTTATTTAAATGGAGTAAACAAAAATATCAAAAAAACTTGGCATTTGTAAGTAAGAGTAACCAAAACCTTTTTTTTGCAAATTTGGGTGAGAAATTTTTAAAATAAATATTATAAAGTTTTCGTTAAAAGTTTCAAACGTTAGAAACCAAATCCAAAATTTACTCTAAAAAGTCAGCTTTTCATAAGACATGCAAGTATGCTCTTGGGTCCAAATTGTACATCTTGATATAAGGTTCATCTAAAATTGGTTATTCTTAATTAAAGGGCTTTTGACCTAGTGGTATGTGAGTCTTTGACCTCCTAGCAGGTTAGGAGTTCAACCTCATCAAAGATAAGAAATGTGTGTAAGTTTATTTGTTCTATTTTGCCGGGTAAAAGTATTATATACTTTTAAAAAATTTGGTCATTCTGGACAATTCAATTCCTTTTGTTTGCTTGAGTTGATAAATTTAGTACTTGTAAAAGTAACCTATATGTTGTTTCTTAATATTGGTCATTGAATTTTATTTTAATAAAACTTGCATTGCTTCAAATAATCCAACATATTATACATTATTTCACAAAATATTAATGAGATTGATCAAAAACGATTTCAACTTATATATATATATATATATATATATATATATATACATATACACACACTGAGAATCGTATGAGAAGGGAAGTTATGGTAAGAAGCATAAGAAACTATCTGAATTCTTGATCACTTTTAATTTCTGTTCACCCATGAATTGCGATTTAAAATGGAATTGATCTGGTGCATTTCGGTGCACCTCATTAGTTTGAAAATTCAATTAGGATTGATCCAAGGATGGAGATCTCCTCTTACGTTTCTCACTATAACTTCATTTCTCACATAACCCAACCCTCTATATACATATATATGAGCTTAATCATTTGAGGGTTATCCCTAGATCCCCCCTCCCACACACACATACATATACATATATATACATATACATATATATACATATACATATATATACATATACATATATATACATATATATATATATAGAGAGAGAGAGAATATATATATATATATATATATAGAGAGAGAGAGAGAGAGCGCAAACGGTTCTATGGAAAACCCCAAAAGAAATTACAAACTGAGGAACACCAATAATCATTCATCTGTATCGTATGTACATGTGCATACAAGTAATTTAAGACGAACTTGGATTATATTCACGTGTACATGTTAAACAAATGTGCATGCCAAACAAATTACTTGTATGCACATTTACATACAATACAGTTAAATGGTTATGAAAATATTACTCAATATTTCATTTTTTTATAAATTTTCTAAACTGGCTCCATATATATATATATATATATATATATATATATATATATATATATATAGGGTTCGGTTCACGTAAGACCAACTTGTTTTCATGAGAACCGTGAGACCACTTTTTTACACTTGAAACTTCACTAGTAAAATATTGTGAAGGAAAAAAAGCCGAACCTTCACAATGAGGATTCTCGTGTAATTTCAAAAATCAAATGACAATTCCCAGAGTTTCAATAAAGCAGCAGAAGGATTTATGTGACCAACTGTTTGTCAAATTGATATTTTTCTTTGTGAGCAGACAAAACAGAATTAGATTTGAATTCCACAAGAGTGTACATGTATGAGGATTGATGGGGAACCCTGGAAACAACCTCTCCCGGTTGACGATGACGACACTATCTCGCATCATGAACCGGTCAAGATTGTGACCACAGACAATTGCATATCAGAAAGCGTTAACGACCCCTTGCACTCCTATCGATCAAGATTCCGAAGAAATCGAAACTGATGACAGTAACTGTGACAAAGATTTCCCTACAGAAGAAGAGCGGAGAAAGTTCATTGATCACCTCACTAAGTTTGGTCCAGGTAGAGTCATTCAGATTCCCAGAGGATCTTGATATTGCCCACCTCAGCTAAGCTCGTTTTAAGCCGGTCTAGTAGGAACCAACTGTCTTACTCGTTGGGGCGCAGTTCAAGTCTTATCATACATCCTACCCTCCCAGATCCCACGTCCGGATAGGATATGCGGGTTTGGTTTGGTTTGGTTTAGTTGAGTCTCATTTTCTCCGTTAAGAACAGGATTATGTTATGAGCTGAGCCTAGTAAGAGAAGTTCTCATCTTTAGAGTGTTTTAAACACTTGAGAAACTGTAAGCATAATACATATGATCTGACAGATCACTCAGTGGCATGAACAATACCTAATTTGGCGTTGCATAAGCCAAAATAAAGATTTTACATAGAGGGCTTGGATGGTAAGAGATCAAATAGTAATCTGCAATTTTCAAAGGTTTTTAATCTGGATCAAGATTCCCATTTCTGAACTGATTTATGTCCTGCTGCTTTCACTAAGAGGCTCTAAAACTATAAAAGAAAGATAAAACTTGTTGTCCCATGTTTGGTGCGTATTAGACTAGGATAGGATCGAGCGAGACAAAAATTGCATTCTTTTGTCCCACCAAAATAGGTGGAACAAAAATGGAGATAGGACAAGATTGGTGAATTACCAAACTACCCATGTTAAAATAAAACCTAAGACCTTCCACATTCTTTCACCCGCCTATCTCACTCTCTCCCATCTGGTCCCATCCTGACCCGATGCCAAACGCACCCCAAATGACTAAAAGGGTAATCATAGATCAAATTTTACGATACCATTTTTCACCTTAGGCTTTGTTTGTCAAACTAGTTGTTAGCTGAAAAGTTAGCAGCTAATAAGAAAAAGGACTTGTAAAATTAATTGGAAATATCTCTTGGAGCTTTTTGAAACGCTATTTGAAGTATGTTTGTCAAAAAACTAGCTTTTTGGCTTACCAAAAGAGGCGTTTTCAATAAGCTCAAAAGATAAGCTAGCTTATGGTTCCCAAACATGGCCTTGTTGACATCCACATGATGAGCAGTCAGTCAGAAGTTCTACATATTCATGATCCTAGAATCCAAACAATAGTTGACCCAAGTGACAAAAAATTGGAGGAAAATGTAGCAGTGATACCTTTAATTCCGCACTATATATTGAATCGTATGCATCTCAGTTACTTCATGTATGCATAGCAAATTATACTTTTGGATGCTAAACAATAAATTGGAAGGTGAAAAGATGCATATAAACTCTATCTTGAAATAATTTGCAAGTGATCAGGGATTCACCGGCATTTATCAGCAACGTAATTTGCATTACTTTCTTGCGTATTGCTATTCCCCTAATCATTTCATTACTGCTTCATTTGCCTTTTGAGGTTCGCTTCTTTCTTCTTGTTTCTTCTTCTCCCTAGAAATGGAGAAAGAGTTCAATGTCTAAGGCCTTGGTTTACTTAAAAAGAGGGATTTGGACTTGAAATCAGATCAATGCAGCAATTATAATGATTTTTTTGGTAACCATGGGTGTCCGGGCTAGCTTGTGCGCACCTTGACTAATCCCATGAGGCCCTGAAGATAATGGCTAGGAAAATCTTCAGTGGCCCTGAGGAGTGCCAAGGCCTAGCCTTTATTTGCCGATTGAGCTAGCCCTCAAAGGTTTAATTATAATGTTTTTTACTCGAAAGAAGTGTGGTTTACCTTGCAACGAATTCCTTTAGAAGTTCTTTTGCTTGAACAAGCTTTGATAGCAAATTACGGTAAACGTCAAGGTCTCTGTCAACGCTTCTTTTGTCGATATTAAGAGCTGCACAGAGCTGTAATACCAAAAGAAAATGAACAATAAAACATCACATGCACACATCATATTTTAGCAATTGTATGTAACATATTAGCAGATTAGAAATCCATCTGTTTTCTATGCAAAATCCCAATTAAACTAGAAACAGAATGTTTTCTTTACCTTCTCTAGGATGGTTGTTTCTGTTGCGTTCGATAACTCCAGTAGGCGGAACAGACCAACAGCAAAGAACCTGCTGTAGCTGAAACTTCCTTTACCCCCGGCTCTTTCTGCAATATCCTTCAATATTCCTTCAATTTCTCCTTCTCTAGATGAAAAATCGACCAGTGTGCCAGAACTCTGTGTACGAGCCCAATCCTCCAATTTCTGTGCATCGGTCCTGAAATTTATGATACGGGATTGTTTAGTCCAACAGTATGAGATCATTTGGAGCTTTTCTGAATTATATAGCTGGCATCACCAAATGAGCAAGCAATGCAAGACCCTAATCCAAAGCATTAGATTCGCCTTAATAACCCCCAAGCAAATACAATCATATTTCAAACTGAAAGACAATCTAGGAATCCAATTTAAGCTCTTATACCATTTGTAGCATTCCACCACAAGACCTTCATCTCAAAACAATGATAAGAAGCTATAGGTAATACACTACCAAGGACTTATCGCTCATAAAACCAAACCAAATGAGCCCAGTATATCCCACCAAGAGGTGGGGTCTTGGGAGGGTAAGATGTACAGAGACCTGACATCTACCTCAAAAGAGTAGATTGGTTGTTTCTGTGTAGACCCCCAGTCAGTGAAAGAGATAAAAGCAGGTAAGTTCATATTTTAAAAAGCTGGATATAAGCTTTTCAAAATTTATAAAGAGCTCATATGTAATCAAAATAAAATAACAAAAGTTCCTGAAGGTTATATAACCCACAACCATTATCTCCTTAACCCACATGTCAAACCAAAAACAAATCTACATAAACAAATCATACTCAGATATACCAAACTAACACAGTACGCTGATAACCTCCAAATGACGAACCAACTACAACCATGATTGGGAATTACTAATAGCCTACAAGCAATGATCTGTGAAGAGCTTACTGTGCACAGCCACAATCATGTGCAACAAGATGTTACACTCAATGTTCATAAGCAAAGCTAACTTGAAGACAAAAAGCAGAAAAATAGTCAAAGGAGAATGTGGAAATTTTTTAGACAGACCTGTACAGTTGTGGATCCTCATTTAGTGCCTTAATATATGCTTGAAAGATGGTTTCCCTATCGTCATCACTTGGGTACCCTTCCATAAGTTGATCATAAACAGTGACAAACCCTAGAGCAAATACAGCATCATAACTATATGTCGTCTTGTATCTCATCAGATGTTGTTGTACAATTAGCTCTTGCAGCACTGTGTTGTAGATACTCGGTATGGGACGTTTGTAAGCAGTTAGAAACTTCAATTTTGTCTCGGAAACAGGTGGTGCAACTAAATACAACAAAAGATGTCAACAAAATGTACAAAAACCATCCAAGAACAACATAGCTAGCATATCTTTAGAAACCATAATTTGGTGTTATATATACACTTCCGGAAACTAATGGGACCATTAACAGTCGGGGTAAGTTTTCATCTTCAAGGGTTTGAAAATATGCAGAAAAATAGGAGATTAACGGTTGCATTAAATTATACCGTGTTCCTTCACTTTTCGTCGTTGATCTTGTGGCTCCCATTTCCATTTCTTATTTATACTCTGGACCTATAGTTACATCTTTGTTTCTTCTTATGCTCTATGAATGGGACCAACGAAATAAATATGTTAAACGATCAAAATGACAAGGAACTATGGTCATAGAAGTACAGTTGACTATTGAGGAATACAAATTTGATATGAAATTTTCTACAATTAACACCACCGTTGTTCTACTTGTAGCACTTCTATGGAGTTCATTGAAGATATAAAAAATGTGAAATGGAATTTGGAAAATCAATCTTAGTTTCGGAGTTCAAACTTAGGAGCCATGACCTCTAACTTCACACTGTAGCATTCTTGTTTTTGGAATATTCATTGGCTTTGCATAATAGGAATCTATAGTGGAACCGGAAACTATGTTTTCTTGGTTTAAAAATTAAGAAATTCAGGCAAAATTTATTCTTTGCATAATGAACTGCTTTCTTTCCGTCCCATGAAAATTGCAACATGTATCCTGCCATAGTTTAACTGAATGTTATCAATACACATGTAGTTACAACAACTTCTTTTCGATTGTCCTAAACAAATGCAAGACTTTAAGTTTTAGATTCTAGTTTAACTTTGTACCCTTAATGATCACTATATAATGACTATTAATGAGTATAATGTAATCATTATATGATAGTAAAGAACTAATTCTCATTTTGGTCCAAGGTTTCTTTAATTATGTTGCATTTTCAATGCAAGATTGGACTCGATATTAACCCAAAGGGGTTCATATAGCAACACCCATTTGGAGCAGTGAGCAGCTCCGTTGATGGAACATTCATAAATCTTTAGTCTAACTATGCTTCGATGTCTCATCAAGATATCTTAAACGTTTGAGTTTTGATAGTCAAATATGTTACTACCTCACTTCCCAAAAGATGCTGCTTTCCATTTTGGGACCTAAACCGATATTGATAGATTAGGATCAAAATTTAGCAATTCACCCTTCAGCAATCACTGCAATATGTTCCTTAAAACTCTTAAATTTTATGTTTTTGATGCTCATTACTCGACATGTGTCAAGTGAAAGTTTCAATTTCTTGAAACAAAATGATTAAAATCTGAAGTTACAGTCAAATTCGAACTGGAAAGATACTACGTTTGTGTTAAATGCTGATACATCAAAAATGAAGTTACATAAAACAACTTGCCTGATCCAGTCGACATGCAATGAACGACGAAACGAGAACTCAAATTCGAATTGGAAGCTCGAGCACTTACGGAATCAATCGAGAAGTTCGTACGAACCCTAAATGCATCGAGGTTGGAGAGCAGAGATCGAGTTGAAGATAGAAGACTGATTTTTCTTTCGGATAATTGAGTAATTGCAGAGAAGGATAATGAAGTGACGGCTGCCATTATCAAATAAATATAGGATTCAAGTAATTTCGAATGAATCAGAGATGAATTCGGTTCATAAATCCAGCAGAAATTGGGAAAACTGAAATCGTGGGTGGAAATGGGAAAGAAGAAGAAATTGGGGGTGAAGTGAGGTTGAAAATCAGAGGCTTATCCGTCATCTAAACAGAAATGGGTTGTCAGGAGGAAGACATGTAGCCATGGTTTAACTTGTTAAATAATTCGAAATTTATATAAATAACTAAAATCATTTGAAAATAAACTTTACGCGAAAATCTTTAACTGCATTTGATACATAGGACGGGACAGGAAAGGATGGAAAAAAACTCACTGTCTTATGTTTGGTGGAGCATGGGACAGAACAAGAACTCATTGTCCCATGTTTGACGCGATATGGGATAGGGACAAGAATTTGGACAAGGTGATACAGCATGGGACAAAAGATGTTTTTTTTTGTTCCATTTGGTCGAACAAGATGGGACAAGAATGAGACAGAAACCAAAATATTACTAATCTACCTTAGTTTGATATATAATCTTAATATGGTATTTGTTTTAATGGTTATCACCTCTAGTTTCGGCTGCCGCCACCACCACCGACATCTACTATTCCACTACAACAACATCCTCCACCGCCTCCACAACCACCATCCTCCAAGTCCATCACCACCTCTACCATAGTCGATCATCGACCACCACCATCCATTGCCACCACAACTATCGCCATTCACCACCTCCAACTTCTCCTCTACTACAACAATCTCCTTCACCACCATTGTCACCTTTACAACCACCATTGGCTACCGACCACCACCACGCATTACCACCACCAGTACCACCGTTGGCCACCTCGAAATCCTCCTATACCGCAACAACCTCCTCCATGATTTCCACAACCACCATTGGCCAACTCCAACTCCTACTCTACTGCAACAACCTCCTCCGCACCATCGGCCCTTACCATTCATTGTCACCTCACCTCCACCATAATCACCACCACAACTATATTTACTACATTAGCCACAAATACTTCATCCACCATTGTCAACCGCCAGCACCACCACAATTCACCATCTTCATGTCCTCTATAACCACTGTCGTCCACCAACCACCATTGTCTTTACCTCCATAACCACCGCCCATTGCCACTACCACTGTCGGCCACCACCACCTCCACCATAACCAAAACCACCTCCACTGCCACCATTACTACCATCAATTATATCAAATTTTTCATTCAAATTGGTACTATTATATATGACTATTCATTTATATGAAAATTGTGTACAAATATTTATAAATTAAATTCTTTAATTATTTACTTTATTTATGTTAAATACAACTATTATATAACATTTAAAATCATCAAATAACTCTTGAAGGTAGTTTGTCTAGTTTTGTCACGTCCAATCCTAGTCGTACCAAACACCAGACATACTCTTGTGTTGTCCAGTCCTGTCCTACCCTCTTGTATTTTTCTGACATGTCCAATCATGTCTGCGTACCAAACGCTACCTTAAGGGTTTCTAAAATGACTAAAAAATGAAATTACTTTATTGAGTTGGTTATTTGTGTAAATTTACTGAAGATTGGTAATGTTATATACCCTTCTTAGGCTATGTTTGACAAACTTGCTCTTAAGTTAGTTGGTTGTTGATAAATTAATCGGTGAACTAAATGCGTTTGATAAAAATTAGTTGATAATATAGTTGAAAATGTAAAAATGACCAAAAAATTTATGTTTAAAATTTAATAAGTTTCAACATTTCAAAATAACTTCTGACCAGGATAAAAGATCCCATTGAAGCGGCTTATCCTATGCATATTATATGTACATCTGGTTGCACAAATTGCATAGTATCATAAAGAGTCATCCCGGATATTACCCATCCGCCAAGAGAGTTTATTAACAAATACAGATCTTGGGTATCATCCCCGATACTGAGATATATCATAAGTCCAATAAATTATTTAAAACAATATAATATAATATATTAATTAATTCGATTTGTTTTTTATTATTTGATATATTATATTAAAATAAATTGGATTTATATGTGTAATTTATTCTGAATTAACATTTTTTTGTTATTAATCAAATCGATAAAGAGCGTTAGTGTTAGGAGTAGAATAGATGCATCTTTCAACGGTGCCACGTTTCAAGTTGTTTCCAATACGTTACGTTTGTACCTCATTTTATTTATATCTAATTTTAAATATTTAAACTATTATTTACTGGATTTTCTGTTTTTGGTGATTCGTCAATAAAGTTCTACATCACTACAGATTACCGAAGAATTTTCTTGTCCTTAGAAATATTTTGTGCAAATTTGGTTTATCGGTGTTCTGTCACAAATCACCGACGCAATTAAAAATGGGCATCTGGTGAAAACCTTTTGTCTTGTAATGGAGGTTTCATTAGAAACTTTAATTTTATTAAGACCCTGGAAAACAATCTCAATCATATAAATCAGTTTTATCTGACAGCTATAATTCAATAAGCTATTTCAACTGAAAGGACAAATGAGTAACTTGTACATTTTGTTTCTCTCCTATTTCGTCTTCTTCATCACCCGATTTTATGACAATACCGATTGACGAAAACCCATATGCATTTTTTCACCAAGATCTCATAACCCCACATACATCCCTTCTTTTCTTTTTCTTCATCCATATGCTCTGTGGTAGCCTATTGTCATTTTCTTCGAGCCTTATATTTGGAGGCTTATTAGCTCAGGGAGAAGATGTAATATACACTACTAGAAAACCAGGTATCAGCGACGAATATCAGCGAGGAAAAATTTCCCTCGTAGATCAGCGAGGGATCAGCGAGGGAAATGCCAAAAAACTCATTCCTTTGCTGATCCCTCGCTGATCTGCGAGGGAAATATTCCCTCGCTGATCCCTCACAGATCAGCGAGGGATCTGCGAGGAAAATGCCAAAAAAAACTCATTCCCTCGCTGATCCCTCGCTAATCTGTGAGGGAAAGTTTCCCTCGCTGATCTCTCGCAAATCAGCGAGGGATCAGCGAGGGAATTGCCAAAAAACTCATTCCCTCGCTGATCCCTCGCTGATTTGCGAGGGAAATTTCTTCTGCAAATTCCCTCGCTGATCCCTCGCAGATCAGCGAGGGATCAGCGAGGG